CAAATTTCCCCTCCAACTAGTTTAAGATTAAAGACGAAGAAAAGGAAGATTGTAACTAATTAAATTAAAAACAATGTTTATAAAAATTTATGAAATTATTATTTATTTAAAAATTATTACTTATTTTTTTAATTATTTTTATTGATGATTATAATAAAAATAATTATTTTTGTAATATAATTTATTTTTTAAATTATTCTTAATGATTATTATAATAAAAAAAATTATTTTTCTAATGTAAATTATTTGTTAAATAATTTGTATTGATGATTATAATAAAAAATAATTATTTCATAATATAATTTATTTTTAAATTATTTTTATTGATCTTTATAATAAATAAATAATTATTTTTTAATATTACTTTCTTTTTAAGTTATTTTTATAATGATTATAATAAAAAATAATTATTTATATAATATAATTTATTCTTTAAATTATTTTTATTGATGGTTATAACAAAAAATAATTATTTTTAAAATATAATTTATTTTTTTAATTATTTTTATTGATGATTATAATAAAAAAAATTATTTTATAATATAATTTACTTTTTGAATTATTTTTATTGATAATTATAACAAAAAAATTAATATTTTTTATTATAATTTATTGATTAAATTAATTTTATTTATGATTATAATAAAGAAATAATTATTTTCATAATATAACTAATTTTTTAAATCAATTTTTTTTATTAATGCTTATAATAATATTCTGTTTTGTCTCATTTATTTTCACATAGTTTCACAAACTCCTATGTATTTCGTATGAAAAAAAAAAATTTAAAAATGGATTCAATAGAAAATTCAATTTTTTTTCCAACTTGTATGATGTACTAATTTTCTAAAGTTACCACAAGGGAAACATTTCTACCAAATTATTAAAATAAATAAAAACAAACATTCTTTCACCAAGTATTGTAAACACTCTTTCAACAAGTAACGTAAACATTCTTTCGAAAGTGAACAAACATTCTTTCAAAGTTATTACACAACGCATAAAAACTCATGCTGTGAATTTACTTTACTTTAAAGGAACAAATAATAATTCTTAAGCAAAAAAAAAAAACGGAGAGCTTAGAAACTACCCTAATGAAAATGTATGGCGTCCTCAGTTAGACCCTTTGATGGTAAAAAATTCTTCTCTTATTTCTCTAAAAGAAATCTCGGCTGATTTGTTAATCTCCCTTTCAGCTGTTGCTTTTTAGCTCCGTCTGAAAGCTGAAAAATATTTTCCTGTTGGATGTATGTCATTCTCCGTTAAAAGGAAAGCCTCCAAGTCAACAACTATTCTGTCCAACTTATTTATAATTACCTGTGTTTTTGCTTAAACTCCTGAGAAACCAGAATGTACTTTTTCCTACTTAAAATTTAACTTCAATCCAAATGAATATTAAGGACTAGCCATGTTACTTGAATAAATAAATATGTTTTGTTGTTGTTTCTTATCCCACGTGGCTGGCCAAGCCCACGAGCCCATACGTATTCATGATTGAAGGGGAAGGAAGCAGCTTCTGTTGTGATGGAGCACCCGTAGGTAGAAGTCTGACTTTGGCTCCGTGACGCTCTTACAGTCATAGGAGACCGGGACCTACGGCTTAAAGTGGATTCCGAACCACTACAAACATCCATGGCACCGCCGGGATTCGAACCCGAAACCTGTGGCACCGAGCGCCAGAGCTCTAGACACTCGGCCATTCAGGTCCCAAATTTGTGAATGCCAACGGCACGCGGTGTTCCCAGGTGGTCACCCACCCAAGTACTGACCGCGCCCAATGATGCTTGACTTCGGTGATCTAATGAGAACCGGTATATTCACCATGGTATGGCCGTTGGCTATATAAATAAATATAATACGACAATTAACTTTATATGACAGTCACTTAACGTTATGCGACAATAAGTTTGATATTCAAGAATATTTTCTGACCGTTTCAGCGAAGCTAATATAATTTTTTTTTTAACTTCAATAGATCTTCCTTTCCACTTATATTTGGGATGAATGGCTTGTCGATAATCAAACATCTTGAGGGGAGTTTCCTAAGTTTTCTCCCATACGATAACCAATTGCCCCTTAATTGGTTGTCGTATGGGAGAAAACTCAGGAAAATCCCCTCAAGATGTCTGATTATCGACGAGAGACACTTTACGATACCACAATCACCATCGAGTCTTCTTGTTTCTGATAATAGTCAGTGGAATAGATGCCACCAGAGGAGATAATTATAAATGGTATATGTCATGTCTGTATATATAAGGCTGTGGTGTTAGACGCCATGCATTTGATACCTTCTTTCCTACCAGATGGCAGCAGCTTCAGTTCATTATAACTAGATGGCGCTTGAGTTCCTAGCAGAAGTACACAATTCCGTTATCTCAGAATAGAGCAACTATCGTGGTGGAGCTTGAATAATTGAGCCTTCAGTGGCAAACGACGTCTGTGCTATTGATGTGTTAATTGTTTATCGAGCAATTGCGAGTAATGCGTGCGTTCGTAATTATATACTGTTTTATGATTGTACCTGAATGTTTAATCATCTATGATTTTACACCCTCCACACATTGGTTCAAAAACACCATGGTGGGCCAAGGCCATCTGCCTACTCATAGATTGCCATACGAGAGATGTTTTTCTTTTTAGGAGGTAGGGTTATCAACCTTACGCCCAACAGGCACATTAAACCCTGACCTACAGTTAAAGTGGATTCCGAACCACTATAACGAACCCATGGCACCGCCGGGACTCGAACCCGAAACCTGTGACACCGAGGTCTAGAGCGCCATTCACTCGTCCGTCAGACTTATTTGGTGTTTTATGCTGTTAATAATATTACTTTCACCTAATCCCGCTCCAGCAGGTAGACCGCGTACCACCAAAATGGGAACCACTGATTTAGCTTATTAGAATATGTTTTAATATTATAGTACTACATTTTCCAACACGAATGTCATACATTTTTTTTTATTAATATCAATTTTCCCTCCAAGATCATAAACAAAGAGAAGGAGATTAAATTCTTTTACGATTGGTATAACTATTGCAGAAAACACTTATATACATATGTAAGCGTACCTCCCATGGCGATGACCTTGATGAGTACGATGGGCACCCAGCACAGGAAGTCTGTGCCCACGATGAAGGCAAACCTCTTGGCGATGGTGCGGTCCTGCAGCTGCTGCGTGGAGCGAAGGCCGATCTTGGAGTGCGAGATGGTGAAGAACATGGAGATGTACGCGAACAGGATGAACAGGAAGGCGGCCAAGTTGAGACCACAGAACAGGAACGTCGAGTACTCCCAAGCCTAACGCAACACAGCACACATTTAACAGTTTGAAACAACATTTCATTTCATTTCTTAATGATAATAAAAATAATACTAAAAATAATAGTTTCATATTACTTAAATATTGTTGCATATCTTAAAACATCGTTATTCTTAATGTGAATTTCTGGCAATTATTAACAGAAGAAGACTGGTACTAACCTTCATCGAATCTCACATAACCTACTTATATTGTAATGGCTATATGAGCAATATTGTATACTGTATGCAATACAATAATATTGTATTTATTCTATTATTTCTCAGGTAAATGTTTGTTTAGTAAAGTATCTGATAAGTTGTAGTCATATCATCAAATCATAGCCATATAATAAATGGGACAATCCAGCATACTCATCCAACAAATGATCTACCACCAAATAGTCAAACAGCTAATTCTTGTATGGATGCTCATAAAAATAGGATAACTTATAAATGTTCCTTACTTAGAGGGTAAATATTGCTATGTCATATTACTTATTAGAGCGAAATAATACTAACGTACATACATTATTACTTATAAGTGTACGTACATTATTACATACTGAAATTTATGTGTGCGTAATTATACTGTATTGAAATGTCTCAATAATATATTTAAATATGTCGTAAATAATTTTTTAGCAAATAAATAAATAAAAAGAAAACGTCTTGCCATAATAAATGGTATTCTTAACTGACACGATAAAAAACATGACACTAAGAAGACGTGGATCTACAGTATGAGACAGCTTCGAATATAAAATGATTGAAAAATTGTCAGCTATTCTATGAATAAAGTGATCCATCACTTGAGAAAATGTCACCGAAAATGACGGTATTTGAAAAGAAAAATTACCTTCTCATACCCTCTTTTATAAAATACCGTCTAAAAACCATTTCTTGTTTCGATCCATTATTGAGAGATGGCTTTTGTTTATCGTTATTAAACTATGCCATGAGTTTACGTAAAATCTTGTATAGTATATTTTTAAAAGTACTCTATTAAAATGAAATATTTTTTCTTACTAGTTTAATGTTGTTGTTTTTACTAAATCCCCTGATGCAGGGAAGCCTACACCAGGTCTAAGAGACCCCGTCGCAGGCGAACGGTCTATGGCTAAGAGTAATATGCAGCTTCACTTTAGCAAGGAACCACGAGGGCTGAAGATTGACTAAACCTCAAGACAGCGCTCTATGATAATATTAGACCGGAACCTACGGTTTAAAGTGGATTCCGAACCACTACAAACATCCATGACACACCGGGATTCGAGCCCGAAACCTGTTGTACTGAGCGCCAGAGCTCTAGCCACTTGGCCATCGTATCTGTGGTTTTCGAAATGTTAAATGTTGTAGAAAATGTGTTTTTTTAGATATCTTCAGAATCTTCTAATTTATATAGTTTGATAGTGTTTTGTTGTTTCTTATCCCACTTGGCTGGCCAAGCCCATACGTACTCATGATTGAAGGGGAAGGGGGTAGCTTCTGTTGTGATGGAGCACCCGTAGGTAGAAGTCTGACTTTGGCTCCGTGACGCTCTTACAGTCATAGGAGACAGGGACCTACGGCTTAAAGTGAATTCCGAACCACTACAAACATCCATGGCACCACCGGGAATCGAACCCGAAACCTGTGGCATCGAGCGCCAGAGTGCTAGACACTCGGCCGTTCAGGTCCCAAATTTGTGAATGCCAACGGCACGCGGTGTTCCCAGGTGGTCACCCACCCAAGTACTGACCACGCCCAATGATGCTTGACTTCGGTGATCTAACGAGAACCGGTATATTCAGCATGGTACGGCCGATGGCTGTAGTTTGATAGTAATAATATTAAAAATAAAGACAGCTTACATTGTGCTATTTTTCAAGAAATTGTATACATTATACAAAACATTAAATTGAAGTGATTTCTGTCAAAATAGAAAATTATTATTATGCTACTGCTCACTTGTCCGAACGGATCATGTATCTGAAGAGGTAGGCACACTCCATTGTTGCCATAGAATTCATCGCCATAATAGTCAATGTCAAGCAGTGGCAAGGCAGAGAGAACTATGGCAACACTCCACACACCAACCATGGCAACAGATGCTGAGGTGATGGTTCTTCTTTTCAAGGACAGAGGATATAGGATGGACGTGTATCTGTAACACAAATCCATTAATTAGGTAGGAAAGTTAGGAATTTAGGCAAGGAATTAATTATCTGTGTTATAAAACCACTAATTAAAAAATCATCATTATAATTGTATGAAATCACTATAAAATTTAGATTAATAATTTATCAATCTCAATATTATTATTTAGCTTATCTAAACATTTTTTTTTATTTTTATAGCCTAACTGACAGTAAGTTATTTTACTTATATAATAATTTCACAGCGTCTGTATGTTCTAATTTCTCATTAAATTAATGTATCTTACTGGAATAGAAAGTTATTGTATTTTTTAATTTTAAAATATAACACAAATATTTCATGTTAAAAAGTACGTATTTGCATATTTTAAAATAATCGTAGCAAAGTTTAGTAAATAAATATGAAATTTTATTAACTCATAAAATCATAAATAGCCATAAGTTAAATAAATAGTTTCGTCCAACTATTATGATTGACCTAAAATATATATCATATAGATTGCGATGTTCAAATTTTTTACCTTAAGTGTGCCTTACAATTTATAAAACATACCAGGATTAACTGAGTCATAATCAAAACAAGTATGATTAAGAAAATTGTTTCAGAATTAATGTTCAATTATTATTTATTATTTTATTCAATATTCATTATTCAAATGAAATAAATCTTCATTTATCAAAGGTGGGATAAATCATGACTTAACATTAATGATGATAACTTATGAAGTGGATTTAACTTTTACTTCAAAAAGATAATTTTCCTACTAACAGAGTCCAATTGATGATTCAGTATATGGAAGAGTAAAAGATTAATAATATTATTGGAGTTATATGTGACTTGTTGTTGTTGTCGTATCCCTCATGGAAGGAAAGAGGAGGGGAGTACCCGTAGGTAGCAGTCTGACTTCTGCTCCGTGACGATCTTACAGTCATAGAACTTCTACGGAACCTATGGCTTAAAGTGGATTCCGAACCACTACGAACATCCAAGACACCACCGGGACTCGAACCCAAAATCTGTGGCATCGGGGGCCAGATCGCTAGACAGTCGGCCATTCAGGCCCCTTATATATGAGTAATAGATATATGTGAGTTACATACGTTACATATGAGCAAGAAATTAACAATATTATAGATTTATTACCTATCCACTGTTATGATAGTGAGTATCAACACGGACGATTCACTGCTGAGAGTGGACAGAAATCCGCACATGCTGCACTGCCAGCTGTGTCTCCATTTCGTCTCGTGGTGAATGTAATGCCCCCTGAAGACGACGTCGTAGGCTGCGATCACAAACAAGTACACGGACATGAGGAGATCTGCCAGGGACAAGTTCTTGATGTAGAAGGAGTGCACTTCGTTGGGCTCGGCCAACAGGAAACGGCCCACCAGGACAGCCACATTGCCCAACCCGGCCACGAAGGCCACCAGCCACACGCTGATTCGAAGCACCACGCTGTCCAGTAGGTGGGCAATACTGCTGATTCCATCGCCTCGTGGCTCGCATACTCGGACGTGGAGGGCAAAGGAGCACAGATGGAATTCGTCGAAATAACTGCAAATTGCAATACATCATATTATTTTATTAATGTCAATGTATAAATAACATATTTAATTTAATTGGTTTAAAAATTATTTCTATTTAGATTGCTTCTTAGATTTCCTGAGTTACATAAACAATGATGTTGCTCTTAGAAAAACATGAATATGAGACATTTTAATGTAGTTTATACTGAGCTTGAAAAGAGCGACGAATTTAATTACTTCGGTGATGTATTTGGCAACATAAAGTGATATGACACATTATATAACATACAGGATAATAAGAATAAACGAGTAATACGATGAATTCGATGATATTTTTCATAATGTTAATTAGTGATACATTGAAGACTTTGATATTAGTATTTACTATGTAGAGGTTTTCAGATTACAAAAAACAACCTTCTGTTTTTAATAACGCTGAATCCGTTCCATTTCAGTGAAATTATTGTGAACAAGGGTAATGGTTCTCTCTGCTATACACTAAACGATATAATTCACAGTCTGGCTTCATTCAGACCAAGGGAAAAACGAAATTTATCACCAAACGTCATTCATTCGTAATCTTTCCAATGCTGCATACTCCAATTCACTATATCTTTGAACTACTGTGGATTATTTCTTTTGTAAAGTGGTGTCAAAGGTAAACCCCATGTTGTAATATAGATTGCAAAACGTACAGTTTGTTTTGTTACGGCTAATGGTGTAAGACTGATGGTGACTTCTATCTGCATCTATCTCTGAAGGTCATACATCGAAGTTGTCGATTAGCTCTTTGTAATCTACCAGAACTGCTTGTCGACGAGATCTTGCACATCACAGAATATAAAGCTGCCTCAAACTCTTAACATTTAGAAGAATGCGACGCACAACTTTTTTATAAGATAAACCCATTTCGCACAAACCGATACCGATGCGTTTATCACACTGCTGTCCTTTTGTTGAAGAATGTTGTTTACTTCTTTGGAAAGGCATTGCAATTGATATCGAGAAAAGATTAATATAGGATATAAGCATCCTGCTCTTTTATCCATTGAATAATTTTAAAGTTTGACATTACTTCGCAAATGCTTGAATGTCCAAACTGCGATAAAATTCATTCATTTTCTATCTTTACTTTTATTTTATGCATGTTTAAAATTTCTGGCAAAAATATCACTACTTAATGGTAATTCCTTTTTGTTTAGTGCAGTTTCTTTTGTTTAGTGCAGTGCACAAGAATGGTGGATATACTGAACCTGAATTCCCAAATACTCTATTAAAGGTAACGTTTCTATTCAATTTCATCTCTGTAATCCATTTGCGTGTTCATTATAAGTAGGGATTCCAATATCGGACCAAAAGTTCGATACCGGTATTGGATATTTTTCAGATCTTAATACCGGGATACCGGTTTTAATACCGGTAGTAGAAATTTTATGAAATGAAAGAAAACACAGGTGTTTTTTTGTTTTATTTGCCAGTTTTATTAGAGAATGTAAATATCACAAAAAACACTCGAAATGGCAAACCATCTAATGCTGTCATTTTACTTATAATTTCATCCTAATTATATTTTTTTTTCAAAATGATCTAAAATCCCTGATAGCTTGGGCTTAGAAACTGTGCTTAAGTTTGTATCTTCATAGCAATTAGATTCTTTCCTCTCTAACAAATTTGTGTCATGTTTCGTTTTTAAATGTGTATGGAGTCCGCTTGTACTTCCTCCATTCACTTTAATAACTCTTGAACATTTTTTACATTGTGCCGCCATATTCATCATATAAATAATGAAGCCAAACCGAAGTATTATCTACTGATTTTTTTTATGTTCTTTAAAGTTATTCTTATTCATTATTATGGGGCATTATTTATGAGTATATATATATAATAAATCTGAAAAATATTTTGAACTCTAAAGTATGATATGCAAATACAATGTTAATGACGAACTCACCAATTTAAAAAACATCGAATTGTTACACACTTTCTTCACAACTCCAACCTTGTTTACCCAGAAAAGAATTTCTTAGTGTTCAGATACGAATTCACAGATAAGAATTCTGAATAAGAATTTCCAGATAAGAATTCTAAATTTTTAGTAAGAAAAAACGGTATTAAACTTGTAAATACAGGTATTACAAAATTGTAGAAATGGCTCAAAATACCGGTATTCGGTATCCCGGTATACCGGTATTGCAATCCCTAATTATAAGCCTTTAAGTGCAGTAATTCGCGATATCAGCAACTTTTAAAGTGTATTTCATTCCATTCTAGCTGTTAGATCGAGCTCTCATTTTAATTATACCTACATTCTTTATTGAAAATTCTAAAGCATGTTGATAGGAATTTTTGTCCTTTCCTGGAAGATCCAATGATACTATCAAAAGCAGTTATTTTTTCTAATTTTAGGACATTTGAGATCAGAATACCCCTGTAACATCCAGTGTCTTGGGATATTGTAATATCTAGCGCTTCTGACAAAAAAATTGCAACAATGTCACCATATCTGGCGAGAATTACCATTATTATTTATTATCTACGAGAATTAATTGAATATAAAGTTTTGTACTGCTCCAAGTCTAAATTTTGATAAAGTTAAATAAATTATTTTGTTATTAGTTTTAAATAATCATCTTGATTATTTTTAAAGTAGAATACATGTTACAATCTCTTTTCGAATACATATATTTCGATTGAAAGTTAGGAGGTGTAGCAAACACTTTTTGTGAACTTTACGTATCATGAGTGAAGAATTAATCTCTAATTTTTTTTTTTAAACTTAGTACTAGTAGTTAAAAGCAATATATATTTTTTTTTATTTGAATGATAGCATAATTATTATCAATGACTTATAATTCGAAAGCTTGAGAGTAGTAACTTGAGCATTCATTTAGCACTATATAAAAAAACGTTTTAATAAAACTAATATCTATTTTTTTCTATAGAGAAACAACTCGAAAACAAATATCAAATTAAAAACGTTTTAAGCATTAGTTTTTTATTTCGAAATAGTTTATTTTAAAATATTTAAGAACATTTTTATGATTAAAGACCATTAAAATGGGTTTAAATTTATAATTAATTGAGTATTGCCTAAATTGAAACACAGAAAAAATAATAATATGTATTGAAAATTAAAAAT